TTTTTCCAAATTTTAATGGTAAAATAGCATCATCTTGTCCCTTTCCTTTTAGTTATTGTGCAGTGTGATCCTCAAACTTCATTTTTATTCAATTTGGTTCCAAATTTCAACTTTTTTAATTACAATTTAGTTCCCAAACTTTTGAAAGAGATGAACTTAAATATCAAATTTGCATTTCACTCATTTTTTGCACAAATAATAAAAATTATTTAACTTTCAATAAAATCACATTCAAGTATTTGACTTGTTTAAATATCAATAAAATTAAATCTGAAATAATAATCTAAAATATATATAAGGAAACCTTATTTTGCAATTCAGATTGCACCTAACTATAAAACATGGACCATTAAATGGGAAGAAGACCCCCAATATTAGAGGTCTCAAGGTTACTATTGTGCAATCTAGTATAATTTTATACAGTTTAAACTACACAATATTTTTTATATATATATAATTCATGTCGTTAAAGTATATAATCAAATTTGTTATACTCACTTGTCCTTAAAATGTCTTTGATACCCAATTAAAAATCTTATAAAGTACTACTAGTAAAGTAATGAAGTTGTAGAGGATGTGGATATAACTTATGAGTGTGGTGTAAATATGGTGGTGTGAACATCATGGACTAATGATAACTTTGAGTGATGTTTCTATAGTTATAAGTGTATAACAAAAAAATAAAAAAAAAGGCAAGCATTTCTTATTTATCCTTTTTGTATAATAAAGTTGTTTCCTTTTTTTTTATGTGAGTATGTATATGCAAATAACTAAATGTTATTTCTTTATTTTTAAGGATATCAAATTGGGCATTAAAGATGTGATTTTTCACTTTGAACAAATGAATTTTATATATTTCAATTTAGTTTTAAAGCTTAATTTTACTAATATTTTGGATGAATTGAAAGTGATTTTATTGGATTTTACATGATTTTTATTATTTCTCTAAAATAGATTGGAATGCATGCAATTAGAAATTTGGGGAATTAAGTGAAAAACTTTCAAAAGTTTAGGACCAAATTAAATAAATTGAAGTTTGGGGATCAAACTGCATAAGAACTCAAAGGTAAGGGACCAATTTTGTCATTTTACCATTAAAATGCGAAGGATTTTACCGGATGAATTGACGGTGTTATAATGTTGGTAAAAAGAGGGAAGATGCTCGGCTCTTTCTTCAAAATTCAAGGATATTTATGAGTTGTTTTAAAGTAGAAAGATGATGATGACTCTCTGTGCAAAATTAGAGGATTTTTAGTAACATTAATCCTAATATAAATAAGCATGTAGCTTCTTTCATTATTGAGTAAGAAAATATTCAAAGTTTGCAATAAGAGCTTTCTTTTGAGATTATGCTATGCAATATTAGTTGTGTGAAGCAACTAGTCTTAGATGTGATGCTAAGGGTTTATTCTCCTTAGGTGTGATGTCTAGAGAAATTTAGATGCGATTCCTCATATTTTTCTCTTTTTTTTTGTTATTTTCTATTTTTTTTTCCTCTTCTAAACTATATTCTTAATCTTTTTTACTATTTATGTACACTGTTCACAGCATAAAGTTTTGCTAAACAGCCACTAAATCTCCAAGTCCACCATACCCCCCTAACTTGTCCCACATTAGGGATAAATCATATAGGAGACTTTGGTTTGGAAGATAAATAAAAATAATAATTGATATTTGTTAATTATTTTGGAACTTTTCAAATTAGAGGGAAGTTAGCAGTTAACAAATTGATTGTCGAAGAGACAAACAAATTTGTTGACAATAGACGTTTGTTGTTAGCTAGGAAAATAATTTGTATACTTTCGGCTCAACTATTAAAAATATAATATAAATACAGTAGTCTATTCAGCTGGTTTCTATGTTCTATGTGTATAATTGTATCTTTAAATTTGTCTGCCTTTAATTTCGAACTAAAAAATAGTGATTTTTTAATGAGTGTGTTATGCAGTGTGTTGCGCAGTATGTTGGACCAAAGTGTATACTAATCACTATCCTTGTGGTTAATAAAGTACTTGGACAAGAGATAAGTCTGTTTGTCCATAGATGTGTCCAAAACCAAAAGTCTCTTCCTTTTTCTATATAAACACATCTTATTAGTTGTGGAATCATTCATGTTGATCTCTTCGCTATCCTGCGTCTCATTCATCTCAAATCAAATTCACAATTTACAGAGAAGTTTGGAAGAGAAGTTTTCAGAATCTGCTAGCTAAGAAAAAGTAAAACTACTGAAATAGAGTAGACGTTATTGCTTACCAAGTAACAACATAAACACTGCAAACCAATCGAGCAATAGAGTCAGATCGTCTTGTTTAACTGCAATAAATTGGGTTATATCAAGCATTTAGAAAGAAAGGCCTTCATAACCGCAATCCTTGATTGCCTTTCTATGATATATAGCCAAAAAAGTTGCCTTTTAATTCGGAACAAAAAATGAACTTAATTAAAACGATTAACATACACATCCATATACAATGAAGTGAAAAAGAATTATAAAGTATACAAGTTGAGTGGAAGTAATTGCTTACCACGTAACCAAAATAAAGGCAGTCCAATCAATACGCATGGTAGATCTAGTTTGAGGAGTGGAACTGCAATAATTGAGTTATATATTTAGAAGAAAAAATGAATTTCATAACTTCAATAATAATTCATTGTCTTTCTATGATTTAAAGCGAAAAGATTGTTTTTTTTTTTCTTTTTTTATATCAAAAGTTATCTTCTCTCACTACAAGAAAATTGGTATTTTGTGACAGTAAAATTAGTTATAAAAATTTAAAATTTAGTTACAAATTTAATTTGTGACAAAAAATATGAGTTTTTCTAATCAATTTCCATCACAAAATATCCATTTTCTTGTAGTGTCTTACGTTGACTTAATTAAGGTTTTTTAAGTAGTTAGTCAGTACAAATTTGATTAAGTTTAATTTCTTATTGTTTATAAAAAATAAAAAATGAACTTAATCCACATTATAATACAGAAGCAAGAACAACTACATCTGCTGACTTTAATTAGATCATATTTTTTTGTTAATTATTGTACTTAAACAGCCAAGCATTGTTCTGAATTTCGTGACAAAAGGATTTCATGTACAGTCAATAAGAGGATTAGATGTTAATAAAAAGGACAATTATACATACACCCAAACAATCAATACCCATCTCAACACCCAAGGTTAAAATGAGGAAGGGTAAATTTGTAATTTTACTGTTCATAAGCCTTGGATGTTGAGATGGGTGTTGATTGTTTCGGTATATGTATAATTATCCTAATAAAAAATATAATTTTTTCAATTTTTTAAAAATTACAAATAAGAATCAAGATATAACATAAAAGCAAAAGGGAAAAAAAGAAAGACTAATTGAGTGGAAGTTATTCCTTACCAACGAACAATAAGAGCAATTGAAATACAAAAAAGATGCCTAATCCGTTCATTATGACTCCTGGAAAAAAAAAAAAAAAAAAAAAAAAAAAAACAGAAAAACAGATCCATCAATTAGGGGGAATGCCA